GCTCCAACCAATCGCTAGCCAGGATGTTGCGCCGGTAATACTCGTCACTAATGTGGTTTTCTGTGGCGTCATGAACAGCCTGCATATTGCACGGCAGCTGAACATGCTCCAGGTCTGGATTTTGACCGGATGCTTGACGCCGGCGACGGCCGGCATGTTCGAGCTGCTGGCAGCCCACACATGACCGATTTGACGGTTCAACGGACATCGCAGCTCGAACAGCTTCCCATCCGACCAGGCCATCTCATTCATGTCTTCCTTCGACCAGTGGTCACGCCCTGGCCTGAGGCCAAAGGTGGTGGACTGGTTGTTTTCCCGTCAAATTCATTGTCTTTTTCAGTTTGAAGGGCAGTAAAACCAAACTAAAGAGCGGGTAACGGTGAATTATGATGTGGGACCTCTTATTATCTGCCTTGGTAAGAATTCGAGTCAGTTTGCGGATTAATTGGTGCCGTTTCCTTGTCGCTATCTTGACAACTCTCCCCACCACTTGGCAAAGGGCGCCTTCTGCGATCGAGGCCGGGCTGAGTCTGCCACCAAGTCCCAGCTTATTACGCCTGAGGCAGATGTGCTACTGGCTGCTGCTGATGTCCAGCTGCTGACAGACCAGCTTCTGGCTCATGCCACCATGCCACCAACACGTAGCCTTACTACGAAACGGGAGACTGTACTCCCTTCTCTCCACTGCCTTAAACGAAAACTATCAAATGAACCCGTCGGCGACTCGACTCTTACTCAGAACAAGAGTCATTTCGCAAGGTCAGGTCACTGCTGAGTTGAGAGCAGATACCAGAGGTATGCATTCATCCAATTTTCCAGCTTCTAACATTAAAAAAGAAACTTTACGAGCAGATATGGCGAAAAAATAGATGTCCGGATAATTTCGTTACACCCTGTAGTTACGTTGTGACGTTCGATGCAGTGATTAGCTTGCAAACGATAGCGCAAGAACCAATATGCTGGTGGCTTTAAACATATTGAAGCTAGCAGCAAAACCAATCAAAAGTACCGATAGTTACGGCTGAGTTTAGTTTCGTCCAAAGGTACCGAAGCATGCAGCAGCACCTTACTCTATTTCCGCAAACACCGGAGAGAAAAGCTTGAACAGAGAAAAGCTTGAACAATCAACTCGGTCAATCGTTTCTGCACTACTTTCACTCACCATTAGATAGCGTTTCCAGCGAAATTCACCACTCCACACAATTGCCGTGGCTCTGTGCCAAGAGCAGGACAGATGTGTGGACGGAAACCGTGGTTACTGCGCATGTGTCCCGGCCGGTCAAGGTCACTGCCGAGCCGCGGCCGGCGGGGCCGCGACGATACAACCAATCACAGCTGGGGGTGCGGGTGACGTCACAGCTCAGGTATGACGTCATAGCCAATCAGATACGGCGTGGAAACTGCGGGGACTGGAGAGCGGGGTGGTGTTTCACCGGTGATAGCAGCACGCTGCTATTACACGTGTCAAATTGGGTTTCCATGGAGACGTCAACAAGCCCATTGCTCCAACACTACCACACGTGTGACGTCAGCAGAATAGCAGCGTGCTGCTATCACCGGTGAAACATCTTGGGTGAAACCAGGGCACTGGTGAAGCATCACCCGAGTCATATAGGGTGTCGATTATTGGTGGGAGCTTTGTATAGTCTCGCGTGCTAATATTATTATACGTTCTGCTGGTTCAAGGATATTGGCACTTCTGAGCCTATACACAGTGGCGAGATGTCAGCCAGTGCCTTCGCGGAATGGATAGTGGTGACAGTGACATAGACGGTAAGTGGTGACAGTGACATAGACGGTAGGCGGTGACAATGACATATACGGTGAGCGGCGACAATGGCATAGACGGTAAGCGGTGACCGTGACATAGACGGTAATCGGTGACCATGACATAGACGGTCAGCGGTGACAGTGACATGGACGGTAAGCCATAGACGGTGAGCGGTGACAGTGACATTGCATTGTCTTCTTCCCCTTATCGTGTTCCAAGACATGGTATTAGTCATTCTCCCCCCCCCCCCCTTTCCAACGGCGGAAGGAACCGACACATTCACTTCTCACGGGAAGCTATACCTTCCCACACCAAGATAACGTTGTCTGTCTGCAACGTTTGGATTGCAGATGTTGGAAGGGCAGCGCTGATGTGGCTTCAGTGCAACGTAGTAACTGTGCAACCATGCTCACTTTACTTCCTCTATTGATAGAGGCAACGATTTAGTGATAACGTCATGATTGATTGACCATGGTTGACGGTGAGAACCTTTCGAATTTTCTGTTGTTTTATTTGGTTTTCTTGCTTGTTATTGTTGTTTCTTTTCTGTATACCTAAGTACAAGTGTAGTGTGTACCAACAGAGCCTGTCCCGAGCCTCAGTTGGTAGAGCATTGGACTCCCGGTAGTGAGAGCCCGGGTTCGAGACGCTCCGGCGCTCGATATTTGAGACTCCTGACGGGGATGGTCTGCGGTTGGTGCGAGCAGCCGCAGCCAGTTGAAGTCAGTTGAGTGGGACAGGCCGTGTCCGGCTTTGAAGGGCACGTTAAACTTTGGCATCTAAATTCTCCCGTTACCCGGAACTGCGCGATCGGACGGTAGGGGTCGGGGTCTGCGTAACAAGCTCTGCTTAGCGTGGGCTCCGGCTCTGTCAATCCGTCCATTCAAACATTCGAGCTAAATTTATAAAAAAGTGTAGGAGTTACATGGCATGAGACGGAATGCCCCCCCCCCTCTCTCTCTCTCTCTCTCTCTCTCTCTCTCTCTCTCTCTCTCTCTCTCTCTCTCTCTGCAGGAGGGGAAGGGTAATGCTCAGACTCCCTAGCTATGCAGTGAAATACCCGCAACAAAGGCCAAGCCAGACCCGAGTAACCAAACTATGTGTCACGTTTTACACTGAGTCTTTTCCATACTGTTTAAGGCATTGGTTCGCGACTTTGCGGACCCCCCGGAGGTAGTCACTGCAGACACCCCGGAGTGTAATGTTCGCAATATTGCCACCCCCTGCATTCGTTGCACCATAACTAATGCATCATCTAAATGTCGGCTACGTTACAGCGTTCCTAAGGCGTCGACTGTCAACAAAGGTAATGAGATCCGCAAACTGCTGTGAAATAGGCTTGTAGGAAAATGTTGGCTAAAGTCTCCTGCAAAACACTTTAGAGACGGTATAATTGGTAGTATTGCAACTTCATTGCATTTATGTATCTATTCGTCCTCCCTCCAGCAGGTTTATGGCGCCAAATCACAGTAGGGTTACTACTTCTTCTCTTCCTTCAGCCCTCCCCCTGGTCTGGAGAGGCAGCGAGGGCCCACCCCACTCCTGGCGGCGTACAGCTAGCGCCTGGCGGCGACACCCCGAGGGGCGGGCGCTGTCGGGGATCGAACCCGGAACCTCCCGATCACCGGGATGACACACTATTCAGCTACGCTATCAGGGCCGCCGTATCGCATTTCATAGATGTGCGATGCCATCATTTTTATAGCTTATAATGATACACCATCTGGCCTTGCAACACAGGACAACAGTTTACTAACTCCACTTATTACTAACTCCACTTATTCTACAATTCTGCAGAATTACGATTTATTAAACTAAAAGTGTTTAGCTTTACCTACTTGTCAATCCTAAATGAAACAATGTACCTATTTATATCGCTATAAGCGAAACCGTGCAGGATAACTGTAGCCAGTACCGTTACCAGTTGCTGAGATCAAGGTCCGCGGTGTTTTTTTTTTTTAACTATGATTTTTCAGTATGCTTTTGACGTTGTAGCGGAAAATTGTTTCGTCGTAATAATCCAATTTGTTTACCCTCACCCCGTTGGGAGGGGGGCCATTTTGCCCCCTCCCCTGTGTTTTTTCCTGAATAGCAAGAAAACGGCGGCGCGCAGCGCCGCCAAATTTTCAGCACCTTCCCGGGCATCAATTTGACACCTGCACACCAAATTTCAAGTCTTAGGTCACCTTAGGTCAGGAGTTATTGAGGCCAAACTGAGGTCATGTTCGAGCAAAAAAGGAGCAAAAAATATGTAATCTTGAAACGCTCACCAAATCTACAATTATCAAGCAACTTCAAAGTTCTTTAAAAGGCTAGTAGGCAAAAAGCGGCGCTACAAAACTGCTATCTCGGATTTTCGAAATTTTGGGTTTTTGACCAAAAAAAAATCAAAAAATTGATTTTTTTTTAGAAAACTAAAAAGAAATCCAAAACTTTCCGAATTTCTAAAAAACCGGTATATATGTGATAGTCCCTGCGCTCTTCTATATACATACCAAATTTCAGATCGATATCTCGTTTTTTTGCCAAGTTATAGCGAAAAAACTGTTCAAAAATGATGACGTCAAATTTCTGAACTCAATTTTTAGCGATTCTAGACCTTATACGGCAAAACAAAGACCACCATTGAACTCCCCGTGACGAGCTGCATCGATTCGATACCCATTTTATGCAAAAATATTAACTTTGAAATTTGACCTAATTTGACCTGACCTTGACCTGACCTTGACCTGACCTTGACCAAAACGTGACCTAAGCTGGCCCCAAAGGCTGCCTGACCCACATAATCGCATTTGTCATGTAAAATGGACCATAAAACATGTATCACACGACACTTTCATATTGTGAACCCCCAGTGACCTGACCTCTGTAACCTGACCTGGTATCAGTGACCTCAAATAGCAAAATATGTGTTTGAAGAACATTTCCCCATCGACGATTTTCAATGAAATTCATTTTACTCGATTTTACAACGCATTTCTTGAAATGCCTGTAAACGGTGAAAATTGGACCTTTGACCTGACCTGTGACGTCATCGGTTTGACCTAGGTCAATAAAATTGGGTCACAAGGTAGTTCCCTGATAGGGCTATCCAACACCGTTTGCCGCTTGTCGCTAGGTTGCGTGGTTCTCGAGATCTTGGGGGGGGGGGGCAAAATGCCCCCCCCCCCCCCAACAGGGCACGTTGCTTGGCAGAGCCCAACGGGGCGCGGTTAAGATAAGTTGAAGCTCAGTGACACTCGGGTTTGTACCAGGCCTGGAGCTGACACACGAATGCCTTCTGCGCACTGCAGTAAGTGTCGTCCCAAGCCTGAGTCGCAGACCAGATCTGCACGCAGTTGTCAGCTGAGAGAGCAGAGTTGGGCTCGCCGGTACCCCAGAAGGGGCTGCCCAGGGTCACTGGCTCTCCTCCGTCCTCTGCCACGAACACTCCGTCCTCGCCATGCTCCGACAGTCCCATCCAGACGTTCACTCCAGCCGCCATGGTCAGAACGCACTGGTTCTCCTCTTCAGAGCGGGGCACGGCCAGGTGGGCGCCCAGCAAGACGCAGGCGGCTTTAGCTTCGGTGAAGTTGAGCTCCTGAGGGGGTCGGATCAGACAGCGGCCGGCACAGCGGCTGAAGTCGGCCGGACAGGCGCATGACACGGTAGAGCTCTCTGCAAAGAACAACCACCATGGAAATAAAGTCATCGTCCAACATAAAATCAACCATCATCCCATTCTCTATGCAGGCCCGACGGACGTTTTTGGCCTCCCTCGTCGAGTTTTTGTTTCGATAGTTCTCGATTAGTCAATGATTAGAGCACAAAACGTTCGTTCGGCTTCAGATGTCCTACTGGAAGTTGACAGCTTTAACCCTCGCCCTGGCAGGGGTCGATGCGACCCCCCTCCCCTAAGGTTTTTCGAAGATAGCGTAAAAACGGCGGCGCGCAGCGCCGCCAAAATTGGCACAGCCTATGGGGCAATCTTTTTACATACGACCTGAAAATTTCAGGTCCGGGTGACCTTGGGTCAGGTCACCAGGTCAGAAAAACCGGTACAAGGTCATGGTCAAATTTCAATTTTCTTTTTGCACCTGTCCAACTCACAGTTTTGGACTGATTTCCTTCAAACTTTCAGGATGTGCTAAGTTCACCGAGTTGTATAACATATAGTTCGGGTTTTTTTAGGTCACTGACCTGAGGTCAGTTAGAGGTCATTACGTCGTAATGTTAAGCCTATGGGAAAATACTAAATTCGGAAAATACTGGAGATATCCGCTTCGTTCTATCACTTTTGTGCTTTGAAACCACAGTACTTAACAGCAGGTCACTTGGTGCTTCTTTGTTTGGTGTACTTATCCATGGGTCAGGTCAAATGAGGTCAACTGAGGTCAAATGACGTTTTTGCCAATAACTTGGCACATAATGACGCTAGTGCTTAAAAAATGGTATTATAGTGTTCCTGGCGATCAGCCGAATCGAATGATATGCGATATGATGCAATTGGTTAACTTGAACTTAATTTATTAATTTAAGTTTACTTAAAATTTAAGAAAAACTTTAAGTACACTTAACCCGCGCCCCACTGGGGGGGGGGGCTATTTCGGCAATAACTTCCAAACCGCTTGATATATCGACGCCAAACTTTCAGTACCTTAGGCTGCATCAATTTCACACCTTGTGTCAAAATTTGAACTTCGTAGCTACCATAGGTCGGCCGGAAATGACGTCAGAGTGACGTCATGTTCGGCCGATTTCGACGCAAAACATTCAACCACGGCAATCGCTCCCAAGGGCTCAGTTTTTAAGCTAGATCCAATTTCTTTGCATGAGAGGACTCAGAATGGACTGCGCTATCAAACTGCTATCTCGGATTTTCGGAATTTTGAAAATTTCGAAAATTTTATATAATAGATTTCAAAATTTGCATTTTTACATTTTTTTCAAAAAGTTTTTGACTTTTCCAAAAAACCGGAATATATGTGATAGAACGCGTTATTATGACTAACTCTAGCAAGTTTTAGCTAAATATCTTCAAAAATGGCCAAGTTATACGCATTATTGCAAAAAATTCACAATTATTAAATTTTCAAATCAATTTTTCACCACGTATTTGACATTGTACGCCAATATAAATAGCACCATCGTGTTCCTGAGCTCAAACTGCATCCAATAGACACCTTTTCTGTTGAAAAATTTTAACTTCAAATTTGACCTTTTTTGACCTGAACGTGACCTGACCTAAGCTAAATTTGACTCAAAATGACCTCGAATGACACAGACGACATCACATTTGAAATCTCTGACCTAAATGGACCATAAAACATGTGTCACGTGACCGACGCATGATATAATATTTTCGTGACCTGTGATGACCTGACCTTGACCTGAAAATCAAAGTACAGGTTTGGTACCCTCAGGGTAACAAGAGCATTTGTTCCCGAGTGTGTGATCCAAAAATGAGCCTGATTTGACTTGTAAGACGGCGGCCAGAGCCCAAAACGTGAACAAGCCAAAATGCTAATAATTTTTACTTTGACCTGACCTGTGACGTCATCGGTGACCTCGAGGTCAATGAAATTAGGTTTCGCTCGACAGTTTTTCCGGGGCTATCAGACGCCGTTTAAATTTTGACGATCGGCCCAGTAGTTTCGGAGTTAGGAGGGGGGGCTATGAATAGCCCCCCCCCCAGTAGGGCGTGTTATACGCAGACCCCAGTGGGGCGCGAGTTAAGCAAGCTATAAAGTATATCATTCGACGCGCCTTGACGTGCTGAGTTCACTGGTGCTTTTCTTTTTGCTCTATCTTAATTAGATCAAAAGATCAAAAGTTATAAGCGAAAAACTTTTGACCTGTTTTTAGCGAAATTTTTACATTTATACCCCCCAAAACCCCCCTAAATATTAACCTAGAGCAACCAAATTTGCACAGGGGCGAGAACTCCAGGGGGCCCACCTACCTACCAAATTTGGTGTTTCTAGGTGCCATAGGAGCCAATCGCGAGGGGGGGGGTCGCATCGACCCCCCCCTGCCAGGCCGTGTTATGAAAAATGCCCTGCCAGGGCGAGGGTTAAATTGAATAAGTTTCTTGAAATAGAAACAATCAAATAGTATATTATACAAGGTACACTGCGTAAGCACTTTCCTATTTCCCTATTTTATACCAAGGCCTGGCATGCCGATACCTATTTTACCAGTACATGTAATGCTAATACTTACCAGGTGGGGCATTCCACGTCAAATCAAACACCGAAATCCGTCATCCCCTTCGATTTTTCTGAAAATTTGTAGGCAGACTGGGCATGGTTCAAAACTGAGTTACGTATAACATTTTCGAAATTTGATAACGTATCGCTGAGATATAGGTCATCGAATATAGCGAAAAATGCCACACATCAATTTTTTAAATGGCTATAACTCTGGTTCCTTTTCTGGTATCAAAATGATATTAAAGGGTCTTATAGGCAATTGATAAGGCTTTGATTTTTAATTATCAAATTAAATTGAAGTGACCTTGAAATGCATTTGACCTTGAATTAAAACAGAAAAATTTAAATAGCAAAAAACACGTCACCTTCGATTTGGGTAATTTTTACATATTATGTCCGTCACAATGTTCCTAACCATCTGTGAAAAAATTGGAGTGGGCCATTCATAACTTTCGCGGCAAACGCCGTTTTCCTGCATCAACATCACGCAACCGCGCGTGACCTTGATAGACAGAGTCAAGACATGCTTGCTTGTGTACACTTTCTGAAATGAATGATTGCTGATTAGTGATTTACCACATGCCGAGATATCCCTTTAACATTAGCACGTGCATTTGGGAAATGGCTTCGGCCCGCCTCGGCTAATGTTGAAGGTATTTGGGAAACGATTCGGCCCTAGGGCTTTTTGATTTTCCCAGACAAAATTTTACTGAATACTCTGAGCGGAAGAACCAATTTCAAAGAAGATATTTACGGATTGTGTGTTCACTAACAGCAACAGCAAAAGTAAGTGACTGCGTGTTTACTTACTTTTGCTGTCAACGTAATTCAACTAAACAAGGTTATCGTTCCAATGCCAATGTATTTATTGCTGCAGAACATGGTCGGAAATCGGAATAATAATTATTTCTACATAATGAACGCAAAAAACGATCAATTTAAATGCGTGAAGCATCTTAACGTGCCACAATGAAACATTTGATATTGTTCCAGCTGGGATCCAAGACGCGTTTGATTCAGCGTTCCACCCAATTTTCAGTTTTCCTCACGGTTTCCTCACTCCTGCTGGACTCCATATCTTTATTCTAACTTCTGGCGCTTCGCCATCTTCATCCTCAGCTTTTTCAAACCCTAAATAAGGGGGAAGTAGGAATTTCATCTTTCATACTCAACGCAGCCCAAATCCCAATAATGAAAAACAAAAAAAAAAAATAATCACGGTGACTATAAATATGAACATAGTACTAATATAATATTAACACAATATTTATTTTAAAGTGTAAAATATCAAATGAATATGATATTAACTGTTGCGCCGGTACGGCATGTGGTAAATCTCTTCCCAACCTTGGGCTGTGAAAATGCAGTTTTATTCACCTCGGTTTTTTGCTACGGACCTCGTGCCTACCGGCACTCGGTCCTCCGCACAAAAACCTCGGTGAATAAAACGCATTTTCCCAGCCCCGGTCGGGAATATATAATCCCAAACTCTGCGAGAATGGAAATGCATAGTCATCGTAGTGAAGCATTCACGTTCCATAGTAAAAGTGTCTCAGGCAAACGGTATTTTGCGGTGAATTTTGAGCCGTGTGGAAATGCATCATGAAGTAAATTCAACGAAAACATTATCACGCAACGATATCTTCACGTCTTTTGATCTTCACTATACGAAAGAACATACATTTTTTAGTATGTATGGGGAATTTCTAGTTAACCCAATAATAAATATGGCAGTTAGAGGCCTGCTAAGAGTAACATGTCGCCGGCTGAGGCGGGCTCGGCCGATGCGGGAAACGCAGCAATCACAATTTTGTGTTTACACGTTCATATTTCAATTGTTTACCAACCGATTTTCAAAATTCTTTCACCATAAGATTGCCTGTACATTTCTTAGTCTTCTCACAAAATTTGACGCGAATCGAACGTAATCAGCGGTAGGGAGCGCGATGTAAAGACGGAACCGTTCCGTTCCGTCCCGGCACAGTCTACAATTCAGGCGGCGCGTAGCGGTCGGCGCCGGCTGCCGAGTCGCCGCGTTGCTGCGGCGACAGGATGTTCACTTTACACCGCTATTACTAGAACAATTGTGAACCGATTTTCTTATTGCTTGCACGATGAGATGTCCAATTCAATTCTTGACAGGTAGCCATAATTAATTTCGCATTAATCTTATGAGATATTGGCGAAAAACAGGAGGGGTGGGCGAAATTCGTTCTTCCCCCTCCACTGCGCGTGCTAACATACGTTTGCATATGTGCAATTTTCTTCAAAACTTATGAATGGCCCACTCTAATTTTTTCACGGGTTGTTAAGAATATGGTAGGCAATAAAATATATGAAAATGAGCCAAATCGAAGGTGACGTGTTTTTTGCTATTTCAATATTTGTGCTTAAGAACAGAGTTAAGCAAACTTCAAGCTCATATATTTAAGTAGGTGCAATTCTAAACAAATGCTTAAGAAATTACCTAAACAGTAAGGTTTATTTCATTCAAATCAAACAAGTACAACCAAAGTTATGGTCGTTCAAAAATATAAAGATGCAACATTTTGCAAAAATTTGATGCCCTATATTTAGAAGACCTGTGGTCAGAATGTGCAAAAAACATCAATGTAATGTCCGGGGCCACACAGGAATTCGCTCACAAATTTATAATGAAATCGCTGATGGTAAGGTGCAAAACAGCCGATTTTTGTTCGATTTGACGTGGAATGCCCCAGGTACCAAAGTACCTACCAGTAATCAGATGAACTTTCCGGAAGGTTTGCTGCCCCAAGCTGGTGTCCTCCGAACGAAGTTCATCTGTGAAAAATGCGGCATGATGGTAACGTTTCAGGCCAGAAATGTGCAGCCAGAGTGAAGATGGAATGGAAAAGACTACAGAGGCCAGAATGGGGAAAGGAGAGACAAGAAATTAGAAAAATGTGATTATAAGCCTGGGTTACACCGCTTAGCAGCCGATGTCTTTTCATGTATTTCCTTGCATACAATGAAGTTAAAAGTATTTGTTTGTGTTTGAAAAATAATCATATAATATTTCATTAGTGATTGAAGGCACGCAAAGGTACGAAAGATTGGAGATATAATTATTCTCCAAAGTTGCCTTGCTGGTCAACTCACCTCCCGTGCTGTACAGCTGACAAGTACCGTTCGTGTGGTACGTAAACCCTCCACACAGACCCGACTCTTCCGTTTGACATTTGGCCGCACAGGTCATCTTTGAGGGCACCAAAGCGGTGGTGGCTGGGTCCCCGGTGTATGTGATGTTCTCTCGTCGGAAGGAACTTCCTCCTTCAGCCAGTTCTTCCCTCAAAATGAATATCACGAACAGGCAGGGAAATAAATTTAGCAATGCCATGTTTGCCCCTTGTTGGGTGTTGTGGGCCTATATGTCTGACGTTGTGATTAAGCTTGTCTGTAGGTATGTTCCTCTTTGCACAACGGTGCGGTGTTTCTCCAGAGAAATCGACAGTGTGTGTGTGTGTGTGTGTGTGTGTGTTACGTGGGTCCTCGCTAGCCCAAGTGCCTTACCACATCAACGGCGGTTGCTAGGATACCAGCACTCAACTGTGGCTTCCAGCCAACGGGAAGGCAGCATAAAGGCGCCGACTGCAGTGGCAGCGGTAACCACGAGGTCCGAGCCCACCATGGTAACTGAGGACCATGGTTTTGTGGGTTGTTTTAGAGCATTTGTTTCCAACTTTACTGACTGGCAAGTGACAAGCGATTTACTTGCCAGTCAAAACCATTCGTGAAGCTTTTCTTTGCCATTGTACAAGTCTCGGTATATTTTGATTAGGAGGAAATCTTATTAGACTTTGATAAAGTGGGAGTGGACCGGCATTCAGCCTTCACCAAGGCCATATCTAGGCCTCCTCAAACGTCCCAACTTCTACTTCTTCTAGCGTCTGCCTTCTATCTCGGTGACACAATGAAATCGCGTTTTAGGACGTGGATCAGCATAAGCATCCTGTCTAACAAACTTGGTCCGAATAGAGGTTCAGTATTTGGTGTTTTCTGGTCCAAAACCCGCTAAGCTCAGATTGGCGCCTAAACGATACGGACTTGTAGATGTAGGCTATACTCATCTTACACTGCCTCTGCGATCCCTGTCCTCTCCATTTTGAACCCCGTCCCTTCTAACCTAACGCCGCCCTTGCTGATTGCTCCCCCGTCCTCTGTGGCCTGACGCCGCCCCTGCTGCGCTCCGAGCCGTGCCCTGAGGCTGTGTCGGGTCGGACCGGCCGGCAGTGGCCGCTGGAGAGGCGAGGGGAGCGGGTGTCTGGTGGCCGGGCCGGGCGGTGGGTGGCTGGGATAGTGGAGTCGGAGCGTGTTCTGGTCGGTGACGCTGGTGGATAGCGGGAGACAGCGAGGGACGCTGGTGGATGACGGGAGACGGTGAGGGACGCTGGTGGATGACGGGAGATAGAATGCAGCATAGGATTTATGGTTAAAGTTACACGCTTTATGAACTTTTATCCTCGCCCGAACATGGGGCGGGGGTCGCCATCTCCCCCTCCCCCCCCCCCAGGTCGTACTTCTACTCTGCACTAAACATTTTTTAGGCTAGAAGCCTGACTTTTCGTATAGATAGCTGCTCCTCTATCTTTTCTTAATGTCCACTGAAAATGTCAAGTTTCTGTGGTTTTGGTTTCGGAGATATGACCTTGTTCTTCAGGTCATGTCATGACCCAAATGAACGATACCCAATATCTTGCGTTGGCTATGGGTCTTGTGAGCTTTTGACACCTGGATTTCGCCTTTTTTGCCAGTACGTTTTACCTCCCACCTATTACGGAACATGTTCGACGATGTACAGATGTCAGAGTCAGGGTAAGCTCAACCTAGGCTCATCTAAGAACATTGCGTTTTAGGCAGGCTGAATTTACCTACTTTTCGTGAAGTTTCTTTGACTGTATTTTTGGTAAAAGCTCAGTTCATGATATCATGTAATAGGGACACACAAAGCAATTGGTGCACACATCAGTATACTCGTACACACAGAGTCACAGACATACAAACACATTTCATTGATGACCTAACAGCTAACTTGACCTAAAATGACCACAACCAGCAAAAACTTAATCGGGAAGTGTGACAAAGAGCTGTTATAGCTGGCTTGGCACCAATACGGCAGCGTCGTCGGTATATGGTCGGTATATGACGGGCACCGCACGTGATATTACAACGGTGACCCCAAACAGCAACATTTTTTTAGTTTCACCTGACGTGGAAGGTCAATGACTGACACAATGAGGTAAAATTGGATACCATTGGATTTGTCTCTCCCCAAAGAATCTGTTGGTTTTTACCGCAAAGCTCTATCTCTAGCAGGAACGAAATGGCGTGGGGGGGGCATCCCCCCACTCCCATGTGCGTTCTTGGATATCCAATCATTTTCCCATATGGGAAAATGACGTGCGGGCGAGGGTTAAAAGCAAATTATGAGCAAAGTTCTATTCGATAACGTGCGATATGTGTAAGAAACTGGGATTTATATTACCGGTATATCGTTCACGTCCAATTGTGTCCAGTCTTGCTCCTTTGATGCTCGTTGCGGCGTTCAGCGTTGCTCATGTCAACTATCATGTTCAGTTACTGACAGTCGTGCGTTCTTCTTCCAGGACTTCACTGGCGTCGGCCCAGCGGTGGTGGACGGGGGACCGCCATCGTCACCGCCGTCCTGACTGCACCAGAACAACAGCGGCGGACCGAGACAGCAGAGCGACACCGGGCGGCCACTTCGGAACGGGGCGGTGATACGGGCATAACAAAGCAACATTTTTTGGGTGTATGTTTTGTTCCTATAACTATTGTTCCATGGTAAAAACAGAGGAGTCTGCAGGTCATAAATTTCAATACAAACTTTCCGTAGAGTCTTGATATGTGCTGTTTTAAAGTCATCTTTTTCCCAGGTTTATGTTTGTAGATATAAAACTTAATCGGAATTCACTGGGATTGTATTGCGTATGCAAGTCCAAATATTTCGGCCAATATTGTTTGGCCTTGGTCACTGGACAACTACAATAACCCTATAAGTATAGCTCACATTGCAGCGATACCCAAAATTCTAAATTAAATTCACAGACAAAAAATTCAAATCCCCGCGCGCTATCAACCATGTAGGAGATTCCAAGTTAAGAATATCTAGATACACTCACTATTTCCTATCAAAGTATGCTGTAAATTTAACTATAAAATACATACAAACACACAGACAAGAAGTTATACACAGAACACATTCGGCGTCATTAGTTTTAGTTCAGTCCACTCATACTACAGTGATGAGAGGAACGAATATCATCTTGCGTTTTTTAGAGGCAAATCCCAAATTGGGCTCAGTGCAAATTTTCCAACACCTCTGTTCATATCTGGATCCTTCTCTTTTATTTCGATGGCCTCGCGCACTGTCCTCTTCCTCCAATCACTGACATAGGCTACTGTTCTTGCCTCCAAAGGGCGCATCTGACCAGAACACTCACTTGCGTGTCGTGCCGGTGCCGATTTCAATCTGCGTCCGTGTTGGATGTCTTGGGCGTGTTCATTCATTCTCACTGACTTAGGCCTTCCTGTCTCCCCTATGTACACATCTCCACATTCACATTCCACCTCGTAAACGACGCCTTTTCTCATCTCCTTTGGGGTTGTATCCTTTAGGTGAACCAGAGTGTTCCTTAGGTTTCTCCCGACACCTGCACCCTCTGGCGGCGGAGATCCACCCTCAGCATCTGTACCCTCCGGCAGCGGCGGTCCATCCTCGGCACCTGGTCCCTCCGGCGGCGGAGATCCACTCTCGACACCTGCATCTTCCGGCGATGATCCAGTTTCGGCACCACCTGCATCCTCTGGCGGCGATCGACCCTCGGCACCTGCCTCCTCCGGTGGCGACCCGATCGCTAGTGTGACCTCCGGCGGCGGCCCTGTCGCTGCTCCTGTGACCTCCGGCGGCGGCCCAGTCTCTACTCCTGTGACCTCCGGTGGCGACCCGGTCACTGCACGAGCGTCTTCCGACGGTGATTCGGTCACTGCACGAGCGTCCTCCGGTGTCGACCCGGTCACGGCACAAGCGTCCTCCGACGGTGGTCCAGCCATTGCACGAACGTCCTCTAACGGCGATCCTGTTGGTTCTACGTCTTCCTCCGGTGGCAGTCCAGTGATCGTCCAGCCGTTCTCCGACGGGCCACGTCAGCCGCGCCCTAGCCGTCCACGGTATGTCTCCATCCCATATGTGAAAGGGGTCAGTGAGCCCATATCACGATTTTTGCGTGCCCACAACATTGTCGTAGGACACTCGTCAAGAAACCTAAGGAACACTCTGGTTCACCTAAAGGATACAACCCCAAAGGAGATGAGAAAAGGCGTCGTTTACGAGGTGGAATGTGAATGTGGAGATGTGTACATAGGGGAGACAGGAAGGCCTAAGTCAGTGAGAATGAATGAACACGCCCAAGACATCCAACACGGACGCAGATTGAAATCGGCACCGGCACGACACGCAAGTGAGTGTTCTGGTCAGATGCGCCCTTTGGAGGCAAGAACAGTAGCCTACACTGAAAACAAGTTGAAAGAACGTAATGCAAAAGCATCTTAAAATATTCCACACTTAGGTTTTTTCGGTATTAGGGTAAACTGGCTTAGAGGCGAAGCAGAACGTCTGGTTCATGAAGAACACACACAGTGTTGTACATAGACCGAAGACCCGTGCTGCTTCTTCGCGTGCAGTCTTAGCGGCCCCAGGGGGCTTCAACTCGACCAACACCGGTTCTTCTTCGTTCTCCCTAGTCACGTGATATTACGTCACACAAAGCGCGCGAAAGATAAACCCTTTGAAGGTTTTGCACGGACTAGCATCGGGTTTCAGAAGAAGGGGTTGTGGTTTAAACAGTGTAATGGCTTTCATCAAGACCACGCCCGCGTTACCACGTTCTAGCGTCCACCGGAAGCGATCGCCATTTTTCGATCGCGTTGGATCACGCTTTGTGCAGTGACGAGCGGCTGGTGCAAGATTGGGTGAATGGCAAGTAATCGAATATTGAAGAACTGAAATAAGGTTAATTTTTGGCTTGTCAAGTGTTGTGTATTATTTATATTACTTGTGATTGACAATGATAGCAATATCACAACGCTCTTGAAATGCATGGATAAATGCATTGGATGAAGAAAATTCACATGCAAGACCAATCAATGCAGTAAGTATTTATATGTTGTATAATTGCCTCATAGCTTAAATCATGCATGTGGTATTTAGACAAATCTTCCAAATGAAGATAAATCAGGAATAGAATCAGCTTGCCATTTTGGGGTCAACTGATTTAGATATAGGTAAATTTGGCTGATTTTGATGAACACATGAATTCTTGCTGATTAGTACCTACAATATTTTATCTAGCTACACTTTATATGTTAAGTGCATTATTTTATTTTTGGAGTAGGCTCATGGTGTCTGAAGTCAATCTAAGTTTCTTTACTCCCTGTCTGTTGAATAACGCATCTGCCCGACTCTTCATTCTAGGGGACGAGGCCATCTCCGCTCTGATTGAGGCCCTGGAGTCTGAGGAGAGCGTCCTGGCGCGCGGAGACGTCGACATCGTCGGAAACGCTGGCTTGAAGCTGGTGGTGGAAGGAGAAACTGTATGTGATTTGGGAGAATGCGATATCGCCACCCGGCTGCTGACATGGGCGATAGCGCATATAACTGTGTTTGGGAAAACATCCACTTGCCAAAGCTAAAAATGTGTTCATATTTGTACCGTAGAAAGCAACCCTGAGCGTGAAGGAATCAACCTGAATAATTAAACATGCCCGAAAGGCTCTGGAGTTCTTTGGCTTGGATGTGTAAGGCAAGTGACACAGCCGAGGGGAAAACGTTCTTGCAGGCTGATTGCGGGCTGATCGCAGGCTGAATGCGGGCTGGTTGCGGGCTGATCGCATGGGCTGGTTGCGGGCTGGTTGTTCCTGACTGGATACTTGCAGGCTGATTGCTCAGAGTAAAGAGGAAGGTAATACATTTTAAGGTGTATCAAATACTGTGTTTGCGCAGCAGATGTGACGGCGCAGGTCGATAGCCATGCATCATGGGATGTTCAATGGACGAATGAACGGGGATTTTGCGGTATTGCAATAGAACTGAAAGGGTTCTACAACCGATATTCAGAACACAGGGTGGTTTCCCTGTAAACCTCAGGGACTTCTTCACAGACCCTATGGGGTTCTTATCTAGGTGCTAGGAACGCTCTTATTATAAACCCTAAACCTCATAAGAGTCTTTGGAAGAATCGTGTGGATTCTTTTCATGAGAATGCAAAGCCGTCTACGTGAAGAACCATGGGGGTTCTGAAAAACGGTGGCATAACATTTTACCCCACAGGGGTCTAAATACCCCTGTACGTTCTCAACGTTCTTCCAAAATGTTTTCAGTGTATGTCAGTGATTGGAGGAAGAGGACAGTGCGCGAGGCCATCGAAATAAAAGAGAAGGATCCAGATATGAACAGAGGTGTTGGAAAATTTGCACTGAGCCCAATTTGGGATTTGCCTCTAAAAAACGCAAGATGATATTCGTTCCTCTCATCACTGTAGTATGAGTGGACTGAACTAAAACTAATGACGCCGAATGTGTTCTGTGTATAACTTCTTGTCTGTGTGTTTGTATGTATTTTATAGTTAAATTTACAGCATACTTTGATAGGAAATAGTGAGTGTATCTAGATATTCTTAACTTGGAATCTCCTACATGGTTGATAGCGCGCGGGGATTTGAATTTTTTGTCTGTGAATTTAATTTAGAATTTTGGGTATCGCTACAATGTGAGCTATACTTATAGGGTTATTGTAGTTGTCCAGTGACCAAGGCCAAACAATATTGGCCGAAATATTTGGACTTGCATACGCAATACAATCCCAGTGAATTCCGATTAAGTTTTATATCTTCAATTCCATGACAGATCACCTAGGCATGTTCACCATGACCTCTCCGATTATGCTCAAATTTGGTACACAAGTTGACCTATGGGCGCTAATACGTCCCAGTGAATTTTTAGTCTCTAGGTCACAGGGGTCAGGAGATATGGGTCATGCAAATTTTAAGGTTTCCCGGAATATTGGAATATAAAGTATTTTTTATCTCTGCAACGGTTCACCGGATCAAGAAAAGTTATATATGAAATAATAAGCGCATGGGCTGGTGCGTCTAGCAAAAATGTGAATGAAACCCCAAGGTCATTTTTTGACCTCGTGACCTTGTGACGTTTTCTTGACCTCGTGACCTTCCAAATTTGTCCTATTTTAAAAATTCTGATTTTTTCCCTCAGAGATGTCTTATCTATGCTCTCAACAGTGGTATGTGATTTGGTTGGTATATCGGACCCGTTGACCTCAAACTGAGGTCAACAATGTGGTCATGACCTGACATTAAAATGACATCTGCCCAGAACGTCATGAATCATAGGCAATATGGGTGTCATATGAAAGCTAACTTCACGGAGAATACATTGGTGATGTTTTTGAGTAGGTATGGGCCGGGTCAAGGTCACATTAGGTCAGTGACCTCGCACAGCATTGTGTTCTTTGAAGGTGGCGTATTTTATTTTTTATTTTGGTAAGTCCAATGATCAGAACACAATAAAAAGAAAACAAAACGTCATAAAACAACGTCTTTCTTTATTCAAAAGGCACAGATAAAATACACACACCCATATACACACACTCGCACAAACACACACATACATACACCTTGTTCGAGGAAGTTCTTTCAGACAAACCTCAGTGACACACGCAGTGTGAAGAACGAGTCTCAGAAGACTCGGAGAGCTTGAAGGCTGCTATGGTGTGGGAGTCGAGCGGTACAAAGCGGTGAAACGTCCTGGTACCCTTCACCATGCGGGCACTTGTGAAGTGTTCGTTCATTTTCGTCTTTGTTTCTGCTATTTGCGTTGCCGAAACGAAGAAGGAATGTATTTTATCGGTAAGGTGGTCCTCATAGTATTTGAAGAAAGCAGCGGGACTCAGGATCTGGATCAGGGTCAAGCTCTCCGAGTCTTCGGAGACTCGTTCTTCACACCGCGTGTGTCACTGAGGTTTGTTTGAAAGACCTTCCTCGAACAAGGTGTATGTATGCGTGTGTTTGTGCGAGTGTGTGTATATGGTTGTGTGTATTTTATCTGTGCCTTTTGAATAAAGAAAGACGTTGTTTTATGACGTTTTGTTATCTTTTCATTGTGTTCTGGTCATTGGACTTACAAAAAAATACGCCACCTTCAAAGAACACAATGCTGTGTTAGGTCACTGACCTAATGTGACCTAGACCCGGTCCATACCTACTAAAAAACACCACCAATGTATTCTCCGTAAAGTTAGCTTTCATATGACACCCATATTGCCAATGATTCATGACGTTCTGGGCAGATGTCATTTTTATGTCAGGTCATGACCACATTGTTGACCTCAGTTTGAGGTCAACGGGTCCAATATACCAACCAAATCACATACCACTATTGAGAGCATGGATAAGACATGTCTGAGGGAAAAAATCAGAATTTTTAAAATAGGACAAATTTGAAAGGTCACGGGGTCAAGAAAACGTCACAAGGTCACGAGGTCAAAAAATGACCTTGGGGTTTCATTCTTATTTTTGCTAGACGCACCAGCCTATGTGCTTATTATTTCATATATAACTTTTCTTGATCCGGTGAACCGTTGCAGAGATAAAAAATACTTTATATTTCAATATTCCGGAAAACCTAAAAATTTGGATGACCCATATCTCATGACGCCTGTGACATTGGGACTAAAAATTCATTGGGACGAAGTAGTGCCCATAGGTGAACTTGCATGCCAAATTTGAGCAAAATCGGAGAGGTCATGGTGAACAATGGGAAAAAAATTAACAATTGAAAACAATTGGAAAAAAAATAGGTGATTTGTCGTGGAATTGCCCCAGTTGTATTATACAAACGGCAACGTAAACCGTTTAAATTGATCATAATCCTGTTAGAATAAGTTGGTTTGTCTGTAGTGTGATATTTTTATCGTTTTAAACGCGTTTTAATTGTATTATCGGCGATGCTCCTTAAACCACTTCAGTTCATATATCATCCAACTGCAAGTTCATAAAATTTGATATTGGGTAAAATGGAAATCATTTCCATTGTATATCCGCTCGCCGCCATCTTTCCCTCTCTTCTCCAACAGTGTCCGCGTGACTCAGACTCTGTGGACCACCGTCCGCTGTCTGCCCTCCGCCCGGTCTCCGACACACCGGGCCTTCGGAAGACTGGTCGTCAAACTACAATGCTTAGAAGTCCTCGGACTACAGAATTACTCGTCATCAAACTACAGTACTATGTACCTATCCTCGGACTACAGAACTACCGGCCCGCAGACTACAGTACTATACCGGTCCTTGGCGGTAGCTGACAGGCACGAGAATAGGAAATCAGCGAGCTCTTTGGAACGCATTGATATCTAAACGCAACTTCATATTTTCAATAAACATTTCTGCTATTATTAAGTAACTTTTGCCAAACGACTAAGGCCACTCATACCCAGGGTAGGTATATACATAGAACCTCGTACCCAATCATACCAAGCGTATCTTATGATTCGTGGCCATCCTTGATCCTTAACCCGCGCCCTGCTGGGGGGGGGGGGGTGTTTGAACACCCCCCTTGTGGTTTTTCGCGAATATCTCAAAAACGGCGGCGCGGAGCGCCGCCGTTTTTGGTACACCTTATCATATATCAATTCTACACATGTTGTGAAAATTTCAGACCAAGGTCATTCAAGGTCAGGTCACCAGGTCACTTAAAGTGACCTCACCTCATAAAAAGTTTCAATGTCTGTCATAGCTACACCGAGTGACCGATCGCTTTGAAACTTTCAGCGATTGCTAAGAGCAATAGCATGTACAAAATGTACAGGGTGTCCCGAAAGTTTTGCAACATCCGTTTTCCCATATGTTTTGTCTCTACCGCTAATATCAACGTTCCACTGGCAACCTTCCGCTTGTCCCGGGTAGACGGCGCGACTGCCCACCCGACCCAGCGGCGGTTATTGCCGCGGGGCACGGCTGACCCGTCTGGGGCGGCCGCCGTCTGACCTTAGGTCAGTCGCAGACATGAAGGTGGCCGGACGGGTAACGCGCAGAGAGGCGGTGCGCTCCCGCGCGATCGGGTTGCTGGAAGGTGGCGTGGCGCAGGGGGTTGTCGCAGAGAAGCTGGGCGTCGATCGGACCACTGTCTACCGGTGGTGGAAACGTTTTCGCGACGGCAAACCGTTAGCCGACAAGAAACGTTCAGGCCGGCCGCGTGCCGTGTCCAACGTCGCCAGAATCGTCTGTGCCAAAGCTGCTGGCAAGCGTGGCCAAAGGGTCAGGAAATTGGCCACGCGGCTGACGCGAAAGGGTTACCCGGTGTCAAAGTCGGGTGTCCATCGGTTCATGACCCAGTCGAAGCATTTCCGGTCGTACAAAAGATCAAAACAGCCGAAAATGACAAGAAAACAGAAGCTTGCAAGATTGGAATTTTGCAAGAGGGTAAAAAATTGGGGCTTCGATGAGTTCAAGAACGTCATCTGGTCCGACGAGTCCATCTTCGAAATCCAGCACACGCCAAATCGGCAAAACGATCGAGTCTGGGCGAAATCTCGCGACGAAGTGCCCCCGGTTGAAACCATCAAGCACCCCGCGAAACTCATGGTGTGGGGCGGAATGACCGCACAGGGCCTGACTGAACTTCACGTGGTGCCCAAAAACCAGACTGTCAACACCGCATACTACGTGGCCGAGATTCTGGAGGGCTCACTTCTGCCGGCGGTCAACCGTAAGAGCAGCAATGGCGGTGTCACGGAGAAGAAAATCGTCGACCGGAGGTCAGAAGGAATTTTTATGCAAGATGGCGCACCAGCACACACCGCAAAGCGGACACAAGAATGGTGTGCGGAACACCTCCCAGGGTTTTGGGGTAAAGGGGAGTGGCCTGGCAACTCCCCCGACCTAAACCCAATAGAGAATGTGTGGGCAATCATGAAGGAGAGCCTCGACCAGCAGGAGCCCGCCACCAACCTGGGTCAGCTCGAGCGCCGGCTGAAGAAGGCCTGGAGAGACATCTCCGCGGACACACTGCGCCGCCTGGTGGCCAGCATGCCATCACGTGTCCAGAAGTGTGCCCGGCTTCGCGGTGACTATGTTGGTTGTTAAATAAAGCGGAAAGGACAACTCTGAAGTGTTTAATTTACAACGTTAAGGATGTTGCAAAACTTTCGGGACACCCTGTATATCTCAGAATTTTGATATCGATGACCTAAGGTCAGGTCAATTTTGCGACCTCCCCATTATAAGTCAACGGGAGAAAATTGAAATGCGCCTATTTTGGACGAAAGACATTATACACACTCCCAAACACTGAATTACAAGTGGCTTAGACACACTGAACATGAAAATGGTGTCCGTGACCACCGTTTATGCCCTGAGGTCATCTTAGGTCACGAATGGTATCTAGCAGTTTTTCGCAAATAACTTTTAATAGAGGCATGCTAGAGCGATGAAAACGCCTTAGATGTGTTCATCTCGACGACACGGATCGACTGATATGCAACATTCCGGTCAGGTCATGACCTTGACCTGAGGTCAAATTTTCAAGTTGACCTTGCAAGGTCAAGTTATAGTTCATTCGATGCGTCTTGACGAGAGGAACACGAAGCCGGTAAAAGTTAGCTCGTACAAGGCTTGGGTCAAAAGTTATTGCAGAAAAATTGTTTCCGAAAAAATCGGCTATTTTTGCAGTTTTTGCCCCCTGCAGGCAAAACCGTTGACGTTAGGTCAAATCTGAGAGGATTACTCAGAAAGGGCGTTGATAGGGCTATCGAATGCGCTTTTCCGCGGCGCTGTAGCTCTATTGGTTCCCGAGTTATGCGTTGGCTTCTGGGAAATTGTCGACATTCGACCTGGAAATCGGCGAAATTTTTGCCTTCAACGACCTCTGGTGACCTGACCTTTGACCTGACCAAAAAATTGACCGAAGTGATTTCGTCATTATTTTTGACGCTCTTTCGAACGCCGCCTTCCGCGTATCGCTACGTGGCCCAGGAGCCGAGTTAGAAGGGGGGGGGGTGTTCAAATACCCCCCCCCCCAGCAGGGCGTGGAAATCCAGGACCCCCAGCCGGGCGCGGGTTAACCCGCGCGGGGCTTGGGGGGTAAATTTTACCCCCCCCTCGCGAATTTTTGCAATATCTCGAAACTGAAAAACTGAACTGAACAAAACTGAAAGTTTGGCGGCGCGCAGCGCCGCCAAACTTTCAGTACCTTTTCTTACATCAATTTAACACGTTCTCTGAAAATTTGAGCGAAATCCGTCGGAAAAAAATTGAGAAATTGACGTTTTAGTGACGTCATGTTCGCCATTTTCGCCTCAAAAACGGCAAAATTTCAAACGCCGCTAATATCTTCATTTTTAAAGGAATCAAGACGTAACAAAAAAGGTTATACGTAATTCTACTTTGTCTATCAAATGGCTATCTCGGTTTTCTGAAAATTTTGGATTTTGTCCCTTTTTTTTCTTCAAAAAACTGACTTTTGGGGGGGGGGGAAAGCTATAAATCCAAAATTTTGAGTGTATCGAAAAAACCGGAATATACGTCAGAGAAGTGGTCTATGTGCACCTACATACCAATTTTTAGAAGAATCGGTTAAAAAATGTGGGAGTTATTCAACATTTTATTACGTCACGACACACAAATATTTTGAAAAATGATTTTTTTTGGAAGTTCTAGACCTCGTACGGAAACAAAAATAGCACCATTCGATTTGCCGTGAAAAACTGCATCAGATAGACACCTTTTTAGGCCTTAACAACCAACTTCAAAATTTGACCTCACTTGACCTGACCTTGACCTGACCTCGACCTGAAATTCATCCAGCGGTGGTCCATATCACTTATTGAGTGTGCCTATTGAATTATATGAGTAAAATGACCCATAAAACATGTGTCGCACATGCCCTTTTCTATGGTGACCTGACCTGACCTGACCTGACCTTGACCTCTGAATGATATTGTATGCAACGAATTTTGTCTTGGTAGCCTAAGAACACGTTTTGGGCAATCAGTCTCAGTCCATGACTCCATTCTTCGGCAACTACGGTGCAAGGCCGATACTGTAGACACTTTCAATTTGTACCCTTGACCTGACCTTGACCTTGGTCTCAAACTTTAATTTAGTACATGTTTTTACTTGTTCGTGATGAGATCTTTCCTTTCGATTGGCGTTTGAATTTTCCAAATCGGACCATTAGTTCGGGAGATAACGGGGGGGGGGGTAAAATTTACCCCCCCCCAGCCCCGCGCGTTCGGCTGGAGACCCCAGCCCCGCGCGGGTTAAAGGTAGTGTGCCACCTTTGAAAGATTTCCCATTTTATTTTTCCTAGGATAAGAAGCTTCTGTTTTTACCTAATATCGCAAAAAAAAAAATAAAAAATGGGCCTGGAATAGTGCCTTTTTCGCCTAAAAGTTTATCGGTTTTTCGATATGTATAACAGCTGTAGTGGGCTCACCTGCAAACAGGCGTCGGCAACAATCGCGAATGCGGCGCACATGTGACAATAAGCAAAGGTCATTATAGTGTTACGACCATACGACGTACGGGAATGAGTTATCAGCTGTCTAATCGTGGACAACATAATGTCGAGCCTTAAACTGTAAGCCTGTATTGGTATTGTTTCTTTTATTTGGCTGTCGAACATTATTTATTGTTTGAAATATGATTTTATGTAAAATAATTGATATGAAAAAGCCGTCTCATAAGTTATGACCCCATTTCACCACACGCAAGTGGCATAAATGACAATGATCAGCTGACGCATTTTTCTTGGCCGAAGTCAGAGCGCGCAGCCCGACGCACCACCACCGCACCACAAAGTATGAGCAGAATCCGCGCCCAAAGCCAGGGCCCCGGTAACGTGAGGTAGCCGAGTCGGGGCAGCGTGCGCTGACCCAAGCCGGGGCCGCAGCTTTGGGCGCGGTCTACCGCATCCCCGCGGGCAGCCCCGGGCTATCACATGACACCGGGAGGACGCGCGGCTCCGGCTTGGGTCAGCGCACGCTGCCCTGACTCGGCTACCTCACGTTACCGGGGCCCTGGCTTTGGGCGCGGTCTACCGCACCACCTAACAGGCGTGTTCGAAACCGCAGGAGCTGATGATGAACGGGTTTATCGAAACTTGATTGGATGAGCATATCGGTAATAGCGATTTCAGTGTGTGCATTTATTGTTCATAGTGGTGTGAAATGTGGTTGGGGTACGACCGACAACTCGTCGGGGCGAATTTCGCACTGGGGTACTCAAAATTTGAAGAATTTAAGACGTTTCCATGAGTTTTGAAGGTATGGATAAGTTCTAAAAATCCGGTTCTCCTTATCTGGGCCATTAACTCCATACGGTCCAGGAAAGCTGGCACACTACCTTTAAGCTTCACGCATATTGCAGTTTTGTGACCGTCTATTGTGGCGACTGGCGTGTATGACAGTCTATTTGTCGTGGCATATATCTGATCGTCTTTTTGAAGTGGTATATGTAACCGTCTATTTCACGTGGTCTGTGTGACCGACCGTCTATTTGACGCGTTATATGTAACCGTCTATATGACGTCTTATAATATGTAGCTGTATATTTTATGTGCTACCGTCCTACATGGTATATGTGACCGTTTATTTGCCGCAATATGTGAGACAGTCTTTTTGTTGTGGTATATGTGACCGTCTATTTGATTGTGTAACCGTCTATTTGCAGTTGTATGTGTCACCGTCTATTCATCGTGGGATATATGACTTTTTATCGTGGCGTATGTGACCGTTTATTTGTCGTAACTATCGATTTCACGTGGTTGGTATATATGTATACTATACATGTGACTTTCTGTTTGTCGTTGTTTCCATGTGACCGTCTTTTTAACCCACGAGTTGCTGGGGGGGGGGGGGGCGTTAAACGCCCCCACTTTTTTCGGCGGGCCATAGCATAAAAAACGGCGCGTTGCAGGCGCGCCAAATTTTGCATACCTGTAGGGAATTGATTGAAGTTTATTGTGACAAAGTTTCAAAAAAATCGGTCGGAAAATTTTTGAGATATCGAGGTTTTAGTGACGTCATGATTTCTGAGTTTTCGACCAAAAACGGCATATGTTCAAAAAATCATATAAAATCACAGAATAGACATACGGACATGCCGTAAACGCCATTAGACTGCCAATACCATGAACAATCAAAGGGCTATCTTCGATTATTGATTATCGTTCCGCATTATCCAAAATCTTGAACTGAATCTTGGCAATTTCTCGTGACAACTTCACGACCATGATACATGAATTTCTTAAATTGAGCTTTTTGAGCCAAACACGTACACATATGATAAAATGAATGTCACCATCGTGTTCTACGCCCCAAATTACCCATTTGGGGCGTAGAACGTCCCAAATAAACGGTGACCATAGAAATAATCCGCACATAGGCCACATAGACATACGTGGCCTATGTGGTTGGGGTACGACCGACAACCCGTCGGGGCGAACAATCAAAATGAGGTTCGCGGTTGACCGGCGCACCGGTGCACGCCGCAAGGTTCTCACCCCTGTGGAGCTCACCGAGTGGCTGACAGTGCCGCTAGCCACCGGCCCGCCCGCCCAGTACCGGCTGTATGCAGTGATAGTCCACGCGGGCCATTCGCTGGACGCTGGCCACTATTTCTCATTCTGTCGCGCCTCCGGTGGCGGTGGTATTGATGGGATGGACGATACCGGCTGGTGGCGGCTGGACGATACGTCAGCGGTGCCGGTGCCGGCGGCCACCGCGCTGGGCCGGCCGCGCCGCTCCACCGAGGCAGCCTACACGCTGCTGTACCGGCTGACCGATGCAGCGGTGGCGGGGGCGGCGGGCGGCTTGTCGGCGCTGGCCGCCCTGCCTGGCCCGCTGCGAGCCGCCGTGGAACGAGACAACGCCGTTTTCCGACGGGAGCGGCAGGGCCGGACGGCCGGCGCACTGCCGATGGTCCACGACGGATGGCTGCCGCCGGGTGCCGGCTGCGGCGGCGACAGCGGGCCCGGCGTCCCTCGGATGCGTCAGCCGACGACGAGGCGAAGCGGTCCAAGCAGGAGAACGGCCACAACGGCGTCAACGGCCAGGCGGCGCCCCTGATATGCGTCCGCCCCGACCTAGCCCCGCTGCCCCGCCCTTCTGATCTGGATCACCCGTGCATGATGTCTCGCCGCATCATTTTATTGTGCTGTTAAATGTACCTGTTTTGGTGTAAATAAACTATCTTTGACCAAAAAAATTACCCATAAAACATGTGTCACAGGCTGCGAATATCAGTTTTGATTTTTGGGGATATGTGCCTACCCGGTTGACCTGACCTTGACCCTGACCTATGCTTGACTGACCCCTACATGGAGCTGACACTCTTGTAGGCCATATATGATGGATTGTGCACCGTTTTGACAGAGTTTATGACGAGAGGCGCCCATTGCGAAGTCCTGAAGTCAATGCTACTGAAAGCCCGATCTCAGGTGTTTGACCTGACCTTCAACCTTGACCCGACCTGTGACCTCAAAATTCAACTTTGAAGTACTCATGTGAAGCGTCTCGTCGCGTTCTTTCGTTTGCCGCCTCGTGCGTTTCGCTGCGCCTATTGGTTCTCGAGTTATCGGCTGGGGGCGTTTAACGCCCCCCCCCCCCCCCAGCAAACGGTGGGTGGCGAAATACCCCAGCAACTGCCGGGTTAAGTTCAACCACCCCGTGGCTAATCTCGAAAGTAGAAGGTGCATTTGTACCGGCGATTCTCTCTCTCTCTCTCTCTCTCTCTCTCTCTCTCTCTCTCTCTCTCTCTCTCTCTCTCTCTCTCTCTCTCTCTCTCTCTCTCTCTCTCTCTCCCTCTCTCTCTCTCTCGCCCTCCCTCCCCCTCTCTCTCTCGCTCTCTCTCTCTCTCTTTCTCTTCTCTCTCTCTCCATCCCTCCCTTCTGCCCACCCTTCGATGACTCCATGTGAAATAATCTCGTCTCACCAGGTTCAACTAAATGAGGACGATGATCCGGCCCTCTACAGAGAGCGACTCCCATCAGTTAGCACCAGCCTGACCGCTGGAGGAGCTCCTGTCCTGCTGGCACCGCCGGCGGTCGCCGTGCTGCCAGCGCTGATCATTACGTGAGTATATCTTGTCAGCTCCACCGAGAACCTGCAGTCTTATGTCGCACTAATCACAACCTACTGTGACTCTAGAAATGTAAAATGATCGAAGTGTATTGTGTTAGATGCGCGTAGCCGTATCAAGTTTATGTTGGCGATTGGCGACCTCCTAGTCACGTTCCGTCATTCGTGCTCGGAACAACTTACCTATTCATTTTCTTATTTTCTATAATTTTGTCGTCCCGTGTACTTTCAGATGTATTGTGCCATATTTCTATACTCTGTTCCGTTTCAAGCTTGCAGCCGAAGTGCCCTGCTGAAAGCAGTGGGTGATTTCTGTATATAGGTACAGCTCATACATTTTAACCCTCGCACGACCAGGCCATTTCTCATAACGCGAACGACCAGGGGGGGGGGGGTTGTTACGACCCCCCCCCCTGGCGTTTCGAAACGGAAGGTCGTAGAGCTTAGCGAAAAAAACCAACGGATTGCTCTCAACGAGATCTCGCGATTGGTGGTATATTTTTTGGTCCTAGGTCAACATTTGACCTACTTATGACCGGTCAAAGGTCAAATTTTCCGAAAAAAAATCAAACTTTTTCAACTTTCCGCGGCGATTGCGGCAAAACGGTGGGAGATATCGACTTGAAACCTTCACTATCGTGTTCCTTGATCAATTCTCTATCGTTTGGTATGTATTTCGTTTCCCTAGCTCTAAAAATGGCGCGTTGGGAGCGCCGGAAGTCGGCAAGGTCACAGTCGGCGGCAGAAATTCGAAAAATCAAAATTTAAATTTTTGAAATCTGATTGTATTTTTGGATTTGGGAGGTCCATTTGCTCCCTATAGAAGCTAATATTGCTGCATATTCCCATTGAGGTGACAAGAATTAGCAAAATAGTGGTTCGGGCGCTTTTCAAAAATAGTACCGGACGCTGTTCCTCTTGTGACGTCATAGCTCCGTGACCTGACCTGACCCGGTCAATTTTCTTGCACCACACGATAGCCAATGCTTGCCCCAACATGCATGGGAAGTTTCATCATGATCCATCAAACAATGTGGGTATCACCATTCACCGGCAGAAAACCTAGGGATTCGGCGCACACGTTTGGTAACTGTCGGCCGGAGGCTGTACCTCTTATGACGTCGTAACTCCGTGACCTGACATGACCCGATCAATTTTTTTTCGGCAAAAGATGCGCAAAGGTTGCCCCAGAGGGTATTGAAAATTTCAGCCCGCTACGACAAGCCGTTTAGCGTGCACTTCGAAAAAACCTCAGGGTGGGGGTTGATACAACCCCCCCCCCCTAGGCGTTCTAGGGTTAAGCGCAAATTCTTGAGCGGAGGAGAAACTCCGACCGCAAGCTTGACATGGAACAGACCGTTAATTTTTCCTGATCTAATTCGTGTCTCCCATCAATTGTCAATTGTATCGACCTTTGCCATCAATTTTTTTTTCAATTTTTCGTCATCCTTCATAGTACCTACGTATCTTCTCCTTTCATGATGATCACTATTCAACAAAGCTGTGCCGGAAAGGTTATCGTACCGATCATGCAATGTCTCTTTCGTGCAGTCCAGTCTTACTCCCCCCTCCCAGTGGATTCACTGTGTGCCGTCCGTAATTTTTTTTTCTGACGACCCCCGCTCCCTGTTTGCCTGCAGGCGGAGGTGGCGCGCCTTCTGGTTCAGTACTGCGTGTGGATCGACCTGCAGAACGAGGTGGCGCGCTCGCCGCTGCAGATGGCGCCACCGGGGCTGGCGAGCGACCTCCAGCAGCTGGCGCCGCCCCGGTGGAGCCCACCGCTGCCACAGATGGCAGCATCGTCGCCCACAAGGCTCGACTGGCCGTCAGTGCGCGTATTTCGAACCGGTGGACTTTTGTTTCATATCTCTGATCCAGAACAGTGTCGCTCTGCAATAAGGGCCAGCCAGCGTTTGTTAGGTGTCACTTTGCTGGTGTTGAATCTGATGATGCGATGTTACTAGGACTTGCCGTCCTAACTAGATTCGTCGGAACTAGGTCTTCAGCAGCGCCCAATAACCAGTAGGTACTTTCGGTGTGACTCGCTTTTCCTAAATCTGTGGAAGTGCGTTCTGTAACGCTCGCCGCTCACTGTACCTGTACCTGTACGCTTGTCACGTGAGGTGTCGCTGTCTGTACCCATCATTGCCGTATCTCTTTCGTTACACTTTCGCTGTATAGCTGCACCTTGTCGACTGCTTGTGCTGAGTAACTACGGCGGAAGCTGAAGACGTCTTTTGTCGTCCTGTGACGTATCTCAGGCTAGCGTAGCGTTTGTGCGGTTACCTGTCATTGACGTATGTGGACTTTGCCAGTGTCATGTTTTCGCTGTCATCACCGTGCTGTCTGCGCGAACATTGGGACAATGGCTGTGCTTAATGTGCATGCGATGCGCATCTCTGTTCGCTGTAGGTATTGCATTTGACTCTTGGTAAAGCCGTGAGGTAGATGAGGTTCTTGTGACTCGGATCTGCGTACTCCCTGTTTTCCGTGTGCGTACGTCGCCAGTCAATGTAGAGGCATTTGAAAACTGATTGAAAATGTAGCAAGATCTGTCGCCTTTATCTATAAATATGACCTGATGTTGGTACCTCGGCCGTCCTCCTGGAACTGCGAGGCGTGAGCTAGTAGCTGACACAGAGATTGCTGAATGTTTGGCGAATAAAGATCGAAAAACCATGGAATGTGTGGTATGATGTGGTACGAACACGATGCGAAGGGAAAAAGTCGTGTGACGCTCAATGGAGACGCAAGAACGGATCTCGCGTGGCTGATACGAGTGTCAAGACTCGCAAAACGGGAGAAAATGGGATTGCTCGAAGCAGTCACACTAAATCTGTCATAACCTGCGGCTAGAGCAAGTCTCCGTTTTTGAAATCGAGCCCGGTCGGTCGGTCGGTAAGGCATTCGCCACGAAAGAAAGTGGGCGGAGCCTAGATGGCCCTAAAACTGAAATTGGCATAAGGCAGTTTCAGGTGCCCCACCGGGTTTACCCTGGTGGCCGAGTGGATAGCGTGACGTCAGCGTGCATTTTAGACTTTCGAAGGTTTTGGGTTCGAGACCCGGAAACAGCCATGATTACGATAAATTGTTCCGCTCTAAACGGGCCTCGAACCCAAAACCTTCGAAAGTGTAAAATGCACGCTGACGTCACGCTATCCACTCGGCCACCAGGGTAAACCCGTTGGGGCACCTAGAAGCGCTTTACGCCGATCTGAGATTAGGGCTGTTTAGGCCCCGCCCACTTCTCTCCGTCGTCAGCCCAGCCCGTGTGACGTCACGTCCACTGCTGCTGTCGACTGTTTGGCTCTGTACGCGGGTCTCTCAGTCTCCCTGAACCGTCCGACTATCAGTGAAAGGAGTTCCCACGCGACTTCCAGGACACTGCTACTGTCTAGCACTCAAAGACACGTCGTTGGAGCCGTACTTCGGATTTTATTGAGACATTTACAATTAAAACATACAATACAATAAACACAGTAATTGTTCTTCATAAGAGGCAGGGGCATCTTCAGATGAAAGTCGACCAGCCACGTAGCTTGGTGCGCGTTTGATGTGCCTCGGGTCGGGTCCGATTGATAAGTGTTGCATGGTCGGTTGGCGGACGGGGCGGCGCCGGCGGCACTCGGCCCCTGACATCTAGACCGGCCCGGCGCCCGCCAAGCCGATTGACCCCGGCGATGACCTCTGATGGCCGCAGGCGGTGACAGCTGCCGATCTGAGTCGTCTGGAAGCGAGTGGAGATCAGTGAGGGGTTGGGCACGCTGCGGGTGGGGAGGGACAAGAGAGGGAGGGAGGGTGCCGCGGACTGACGAAATCATAACAACAGAAGAGGGGCTGGGGAGGGGCTGTGGTGCTGCTATACCTGCACTGGGGACGGGGCATACCTGGCACTACGGGAACTCTGAAACAAACGGATGCAGAAGCGACATCACATGACAACTTACGCGTTGCCAAATTCGCTGCAAGCAGCATGAAAACACGTACAAACTGTTCGCAGCGCCAGACACCGACACAAGCATGACAAAGGTGACAGACACTTAACCGATTACCCAATCTCCCTTCGGCCCTCCCCCCCTCTCTCTCTCTCTCTCCCCGTTCGCCTAATTCATGACACTCGAGTCACTGGACAAATAATCGCCGATGCCGGAACGTCACTGAAGCAGCCTCTCCACTGCAAAATACAGCCTTGACCTCACAGCTCATAACTCACCGTAATTGTTCTCAACTCCTTGCACATTGCACAATGCACAACTTTCATCTCACTGTTCCTGCCGCTCTCACAGTCACAAATAATCAACTGTAAGTCCTTCAATATCAGTCGGGCGCACTGTGGTATCTCCGATTCATTTATGGAGACGTTTCTATTATTGGAAACGTTTCCAATTTTGACTACTCTTCTGTTCCAAAAATGGAAACGCTCGTTCCATAAATAGAAACGCTAACATCTCCGCAAGTATTTTCTTGCCAAGGGTGGCTGGATTCGATGTATAACAACTGTTTCGCGTAAAACAAGCTCAGATACACCAAAAACACTTGTCTTCTTGCATGGAAAGCTGTCGTATGCATTAAAATTCACGTCTTTAAAATGCTCCTGAATCGTATCCATTTATGGAGACTTAGTTTCCAAAAATGGAAACGCCGATGTTCCAAAAAAAGAAACGCTGAAGTTCAAATGTGTGCAAACTTAGCTTAAATGTGTTTTTAAAATTCACATGCAACTAAAAATTTGATGTTTTGGGACTGGTTTAGCATCTCGGCTCTCGGCAGTTACCTTGGACGTCGGGTTCGATAATAATACCTTACGCGCCGCAACTTGAGCACATTCAAAAGTCAACTAAAACTAAGATTTCCCAGAAACTACTGGACAGATGTGGTCCAAAGTGGGCAATACATAAAGCGTAGATATCATTTCAATATATAAAATTAATATCGATGTTACACATGAGCTAGCATGAATAAATTCATCGTCAGAATACAACGGTATTTGGTGTGACGACGGTGCAGACCTTATTTCCATCCTGCTTTTTACGTATTTGCACGGAGATTTACGTTGATCCGAGCCTACGATCATATTCAGCACATTTGAAATATCATAAAATGCCCACTTAAGTCTCCAAATAGGGCTTTGCAACAACTTTCATGCGATTTAATCAAAGATTGACGACCACCAGGCCGCTGGTACACCGGAAAACGCAGCGTGAAAATGAATGAAAAACTGAAGTTCCCGGTGATGTGGTTGTTCCAATCAGCGGGTCAGTCTTTCAGTAGTCGGTTAAAAACGTTATTTTTTGTTCAAAACATTCATAAATGTTATTATTTTCGATTAGAAAAACGTGTGAATTTTTTATCACGTCAACATGTTATAAGCATCGCCTCGTTCGTCAACTTTCGGTTTTCTGATCGGAAAGTCGGAGAACAGGAACATAAACTAGAATGCTGGCTGTCGATTGGTGGCATCCTGCGCATGCCAAATTGCACCAATTAATGCCCAGATTGCTTTTAAGGTAGCGATGCACACAGCGTCTCCATTTATGGAACAGATCGTTTCTATTTTTGGAAACGGCGTATCCATTTTTGGAACATTGTTCCAAAAATGGAAACGTTTCCATAAATGGATCGGAAATACCACAGTGTGCCCGACTGATATCCTACAAATCGCCTGAGAATGGTTTATTGTTTGCAAATACCCGGTGACAATCAGCTGATTAGATGTGCAGAGACATCTATCGGCGGCATTTAGAACCTTTACCTCATGCAAGCAGCGCCACCTATGCCCTGAACTGCCGAGCCCGATTTCCACTAGCTGCCCATAACACAGGCCACGGCCAGCGCGCTATACAACTAGTGACATCTAGCGGTGGCATCTGTCGCTACTGCCTGGTGCCTGTGTTATGTGCAGCTAGTGGATTCGAGGCTGGGCGGTTTGGGCCGTAGGTGGCAGCACTTGCGGTAACTAGGGGTTCAACGTATGGACACCAGGTGGCAGTGTTAGCTCTTTTAAGAGCTTGCGCCAAGCGCCTTACCGCTCTTGTTACCGCCTTACACTATATGGGCCGTGCTTCGGTTATGCAAATCAGTTTTTCAACTGATGGGCCAAACGCCACGGGCCACGGCTAGGGACTTTGTGAGATAACGATCCTATAGTCTATAGTCTGTTCCATATCAAGCTTGCAGTTGGAGTTTCTTCGGCAGATCACTCCTCCGCTCAAGAATTTGCGTCTTAACATGTAAGAGCTGTATATACAGAAATCACGCACTGCTTTCAGCAGGGCACTTCGGCTGCAAACTTGAAACGGAACAGAGTAGGTATAGACTAGGTATACCTACCTACTATCAGGCGTATGCTCTATCTTGCGTTCGACATCCGGAAAATGAGGGTTCAACGACCTAATTATTTGGTATTGCTAATTGCAGGGTCCATTGATGCAATTAGTCACATATTTATATTGTTTTTGCTTCACTTATGTCTATTCTACTCGCTGTCATGTTCGTTGTGCAAGGTATCAGCCTAAAATACCGAATGATCCCGGTGATCTCGGAAAATTATCCCTGAATATCCGGATGTCGAACCCACGCCTAGCTAGAAATGCCGAATTATCTCATCAGTGCTGCGGGAGATATTATGCATGAGGTATTTCACCTAGCGTATGGTAAGAATTACATGCCACACATCCTTCTTCTTCCTGTTGCTAGTCTACTATATGTCTCTCTCAGGCAGAAGATCATTTAAATCATCGTTCTTTTGTAAAAGCTATGTTTTTCGGCACTGTTTGCACTGTCTCATTACGCGAAGCGCACTGTAAAGCCATGTTCGGCAAATTTGTAATGTAAACGATATGTCATCTCATCAACAGGAATTTTTTCCCAATGTATTGACCCTATTCCTGGCGGGGGGGGGGGCCTCAGGAGCCCCCCCTTGAGGTTTTTTGGTTATTTCTCCCAAACGCGTTGAGCTAGGAAGCTCAAATTTTCTGACTTTTCCTAAAAGGCTTCTACGCAACATGTCTGAAAATTTTGAGTTGATCTGACCTCAGGTCAGGTCACCAGAGGCGGTTTGGTGACCCTACCTCAGAAAAGTTTGCAATCACGCCAGAGCTAGAGTTTTTGACCGATCAATTTCTTCTCTTCAGGCTTTAGTTAGGGTACCAGTATGTGCAATTTGTATATCTCGGAATTTTGATATCGGTGACCTAAGGTCAGGTCAGTTTCGCGACCTCCCCATTATAAGTCAATGGGGGAAAAATCAACTCCCTGTTTTTACCACTAAAACGGGTCGGAATGGCCCCACATACCATACATGACTTCATATACGATCAACCTTCACTACCTTGAGGTCTGTTTTGCTGTTGGGCAGCTGTGAGGTCATGTGACGTCATCAAAGGTCACCAAAGGTTTTTGGCCAATAACTCCGTACAGGAACAAGATACAGACTCGTGGATGGTCTCATTGTGTTCAGCTCGTCAAGACGCATCGAATGATATACATGATGACCTCGAGGTCACGTGACCTGAGGTCAACCTTTGACCTTGACCTTTCGAGGTCAACATATATATCATTCGATGCGGATTGACGAGAGGATTACGATGATGCCCTTAGTTTGCTCCTATCTTGACTAATTCGAAAGTTATTCGAGAAAAACTCTCTCCATATCTAGCGCCGCCATTTTGACTTTTTCGACCCCTGTGACGTCATCTTTGACCTGACCTGAAAATGACCTTAGTAAAAATTGTAGATCTTGACCGTGCGTATCCGATGCCGTTTACCGTTTGTCGCTGCGATGTGTAGTTTTTGAGATCTGAAGGGGGGGCCGAATCGGCCCCCCCCCCGCCAGTTTCTTGTCCCGGCGGAGCCCGCCAGGAATAGGGTTAATGAAATAGTACCTATTTTTATCATCGCATACCATCTGCTCACCAACAAACAATCAGAATTAGAACAAAAGTAGAAGTGTATTTCGACCAAGCATTCAACATTAATTGTCATTCTGACAGTACAAATATTTTAGTCAGACATTTTACAAAGTTTTTCATCACTACCATTCACACAAAAACACAAATGCTACGCATGTAGCGAAGCGAGACTATTCAACACAGTATATAAGCGCATAACTGTAACGTAACGTCATGTTAGAGTTACTGGCACTATTTTCTAAATCAAACTCTTCAGACTCAGTGGTGACAGCATTAGCACAAATCCCGTGCGAGCAGGACTAGAGGCAAGAAGCCATCGCATCAACACGTCTTTTGTCACACTGGTTTGTACGAGCGTATGGACGGATCTGGTCAGCTCAATCTGCGAGACACAACAGGTGAATGATATGTTACAGTGGAATGTTTGCAAACATTCTTGATGAAAAACATGACTAGTATTTCACATTCAGTCGATACACTTCAGCGGACTAGATGGTGCAGTGAACGGTACACAATATAATGATTTGTACGCGTTATGAATGGACGGATCGTTCTGCGTAGTGCAAGACACCCGAAGTAAAAGATATGCTACACCTAACCAGCCCTCCTCACCCCCCCCCCCCCCCGTCCCCAGTCGGTGACCCGGAGCGGTCAGCCAGGCCGGCCGTCGCCACCGCCGGCCGGCCGCAGGTCACCGCCCGCGGCGCCGGCCGGGGCGCGCCGTCCGTTATCGTATCCGAGCCGCTGCAGATCCTTGGTCACCACTTGAAAACTGCAGGTCACGTAGCCCTGAGAGCGGACCCGCATCACTGCAAGAGGACAGCACCAGTCAAACATTCAGTTGTAGGTGGCAGCACTATACTCCATTAGCTTGGCATAAGTACATGCAGGTGGCAGCACCTGTCTAGTTACAGAGGGCAGCACAAGGGAAAAGCAAGCTCCGGAGCAACGCGATATTGATATGGTGAATACTTGAATAGTGAATGGTGTCGTTATCTCTGCTCGTTGCTTGTTAGCAGTAGCAGCCTTAGCAAGAATTCAAAATATTCTACAAAAACAAAATTGTATATATTCGTGGTTTGATTGGTTTCAGACACAACAGTCATAGCATGATAATACTGATAATAGGCTGAATAAATAAGACAAACATTCAAAGACGGTATACTGTCCTCCCTGGTAGACAGTCCGTCTTTACCGTCCCGGCTACCGTCTAAACTAACACGTACCGTCTCTGCCGTCTCCGGTAGCCAGTGAGGAGGGGTCGGCCAGCTCCGGTCGCCGGCCGGTGAACCACGACACCAGCTTCTGCAGCTGAGACGTCGACTCTGGAACAAACAGCGGCAGCCTGGGGAGAGAGGGGCGGTCACAAACACATACAGCGGCAGCCTGGGGAAGGGTGGATTGTCACAAACACAAACACAAACAGCGGCATCCTGGGGAAGGGGAGAGGGACGGTCACGGTCACAAACACAAACAGCAGCGCAGCATCATGAGGAGGGGGGACGGTCACAAACATATGGTGTGACATATAGAGCGGCATCCTTCACAATGGCCAGGAAATGTAACAGTAAGGAAGAAAAGCATGATTAGTGAGTGTCAGTATCGGGGAGAATGGGGAATAGAATTGAGAAACAGGGCAGAGAAAGTGGGGCAGGACGGAAGGAGGAAGTCTTGGTACCGTACATTGTAAGATGTTCGAGAGAAGATCATATTCAATATGTCACTGGCCAAGATTGAACTGCGATCTCAGCTGAGCTGTTTTCCTACCACCCTCCACGTAGTCCTCTAAGCTGACCAGACCTGAGCAGCTGAGTTGACCTGACCTGAACCCCGCCCCCGGCTCACGTGATCCGGTGGATTTTACCACCCCCTCGCCTACTCCCCTTGCGTCCTGACCCCCCCCCCGTCACTCACGTGACCCGGTGCGCGCCGGCGGCGGTCGGCAGGTGGGTCACACCGTACCCCCTGATGACGTCATTGCCGAACAGGTCCGGTCCGTAGCAGCTGACAATCAGCTGAGGCCCTGACAGCGCAGCAGAGAACAGACGGCAGTCGGCACAGAAGTAAACACTGAGAGCGTAGATATTCTGTCCGACCGAAGCAAGTCTTGGGCAAGTTTTGTTGCTACAAGCCCCACAACAGACTCAGAACAGCCTGAAGCGTCTATGAACCGTACCCCCCCCCCCTCCTCCTGCCACCTCCCGAACATTTTCCCGTGCAAAGGTAAAAACAATTACGTTTCAGTGACATCTGGCCTAGCGTAATGACCTCTGACCTAACGTAATGACCTCTGACCTAGCGTAATAACCTCTGACCTAGCATAATGACCTCTGACCTAATATTTTTTACCCCTCTGTCGTACAAAGGCAAAAACGATTACGTTCCAGTGACATCTGGCCTGACGTAATGACCTGTGACCTAATATTTTTGACCGACCTGACGACTAATCATTTTTGTTTTTGCACGACATCATTCTCGCGCTCTTTCTGTACCCCTCTCATTATCTAGTCTGTCTCGACTACTGAACATCTCTACCCTGTCCGCCGCAGTCCCCCACTCACATCCGTACGGGTTGGTAGCCTTGTAGGAGACCTCGACAGGTAGATTCCAGACCAGCAGCTGGCGGGCGTCCTGGCTGGGACGGCTCACCTGCGAGATACCCTCCTCCAGACCCTATCGGTGGGGCGGGGAGGGGAACAAAACAGTCTATTTGAGTGAACTGACAGAGGGGTTGTTTCTTTAGTCTTGCAAACCTAAGAAAGAACGGATTCAAAGCGCAACCTCCATTGATGGACGTTTTGATGTTGAATAAAATTGATTAAATAATATTTCTCTCATGACTTCTTACATGAATTTTCTTTGAACCATACACGTCCAGTGATCAAAACACACGTGACAAAATGATTCAGGAGCTTTAGCTCCGTTCTTTCTTACTGTTAACGCCAGACCCCTTGAGACCCTAATTTTTCGCGATTATTTTTAAAAGCGTGGAGGAATTTCAACCAAGCTCAGGACATGGCCGTTTCAAGACAGGCCGAAACTTTTACAATTTAGATATTTTATCGCCATTTCAATATTTCTGGCACTTGTCATTGACTCGTAATGTTAACTGTTTTTCCATCCTGGATAGAGGCTTTCTACGTCATATGACATTAGGCTCCGCCCACGACTGCGGCATTGACCCGTGCCCATCAGCGACCTCTGTACAAACGACACCCCTGCCATCTGTGAAGGACTATGAATTTCGCTGACGCTTCACGTGCTATGAGTCAATTGCAGCAGACGGTCAAGTAAATGTTAGGCTCTTGTTGACTCTTGTATATAGGACCAAGAGGACCATCACTCCTCAACCTACTACTCAGTCGTGCTTCGAACAAACGTTAACGATTCCTAACAAATACGATTTTCGATGTAGGGTATCTGTTTGAAATACGAGCGGGCCGTATGATGTGAAGCTCAGGCAATTAACTTATTATTGCGTTGTTCGATGGTTGCATAGCGATGTACAAATCGGCAGCTACTTGGTGACATCCGACATCCCATTATCGCATTATCTGCAACGCCATAGGCTTTAAATACAGGTGAATATTTCCTAACCTTATGTCAGTTATATGCCATCTGCCCGTCATTTGCAGCTTATAAAAAAAATATATATCAGCGAACATATCAGCATTGTAGAAGCAATGCGCATTGAGCATTTATGACTCCTTAGTCATCATGTCGCTCTCTGGGCACTGTCAGCCAAGACGCTACGCACAACTCCGCCGGCTTTCGGCACCGCTCGACCGTCGCCCGTCCCCGCTCCCCGCCACAGCGAGAGTGACCGCGCGCCGGCCCGAAACCGCCGCAGGCCAAGACCACAGAGGCGGGGCTTAGCTGTGACGTCATAACGTATCACAGACTGACTGGTGATAGCCTCTACACACCGGATGAAAATCTTGCTCGAAATTTAACATTACGAGTCAATGACAAGTGCCTGAAATATTGAAATGGCGATAAAATATCTAAATTGTAAAAGTTTCGGCCTGTCTTGAAACGGCCATGTCCTGAGCTTGGTTGAAATTCCTTCACGCATTTAAAAGTAATCGCGAAAAATTAGGGTCTCAAGGGGTCTGGCGTTAACAGTAGGTTTGCCAGACTGTAGTAAACAAAAATTATCTTTGTGGGGACATATTGCATCATTATTCTGGGGCTATCAGATGTACCTATTACTATGCTCTGGCTCAGTTGAAGAGAGGCCTGGTAGATAGGTTGGTGTTTTTAAGGGCCTTGGTAGAGATTTTATTACTGAGACAAAATGTCTCCCTCCTCACCGTGACAATGTCCCAGTCGGGCCCTCCGTGCAGCTGATACCGACAGTAGAACTGGTCGGCGCCATGCAGCTGATAGTAGATATATATCTCTGGTTGTTATTCTCACCGTGACAATGTCCCAGTCGGGCCCTCCATGCAGCTGATATCGGCAGTAGAGCTGGTCGGCGCCAGCCAGGCGGGCCGACTCCACCTGTCCAGTGACGGAGAGCAGAAAACATTGCTGAGAGGGCCCCACGGCCGCTGCTGCTGCTGCGGCTGCCATTATAGAGACCTGGAGCAGGGGAGGGGAGGGTCAGATGTTAGCAATAAGAGTAAGCAGAGGGAATGAGCTGACAGAAGAGAGGGAGAGGAGGAGAGGAGAGGGCCAGCTCATAGAAGAAAGGAGGAGACAGGAGCTGAGAGAAAAGAGAAGGGGAAGAGGGAGGGAAAGATGGTCCGTGAACAGTGGAAAGTGTGTGACTGGGAGATGATCAGAATTTAGATGCCAGAGGGTGAAGACTGCTATGTAGGTGTAAGTAAGCTGTAATTAGGTTGAGTCAGGTTATCTTTGATTTACTTTTATTTACAAAATGCCGCAAATCAGCAAATGCCGCAAAAGCAAGTTGCCTGCTGAAACATGCAAAGTAATTCATTAACAGTATGCTTCACAAAGCATTCAATAACCCTGATCAAACCTGATCAAAGCATCAATAACCAGGTTTACATAGCATATTTGACGAGGCTCTAGCTTGTTAATTTGGCGATAATTTCGATGCAGTGGTCTTCAAATATTTAGAGGGGATCATTTTGTAAATTGTTCAGCACCATTGGCATCTTTTGCAACATCACGGACAGAGATAAACGCTTGCAACAAACCCTATGTAAACGCGTCTAATATTGATATAGCCTATTGCCTAACCTTACCTACCTCACTGCTGACCTTTCCTTACAGTTTCCATGCACTTAAAAACACCTTAAGAATATTATTAACCTTACAATTTAAATGCCTTGTAAAAATCATATTTCACCAGCAGTGAAGCTGACATAAATGGTCACCGTGATAAATGTTTAATTTATATAAAAAAATGCTTAAGCTGAAATTGTACAGTAGGTAGGTTTAAAGCAAAAGGGCAGGAAAATGAATATGAATCCCTTCACACTATTTATACAGTAACGATCATAATCTGAACTCACGGAGATCCTGAAAGATAATGAATTGGAACTCCTGAATTGTTTGAAGTGAAAATCCAAATTAAAATATATTGGAAATTTGAATTCACATCTCTCAAAGCAAGGTTGGTTGGTTGGTTGGTTTGGGTTAAGCACCACATCCAGTGGACCAAGGTGCTAACCGGAGGGGTGTTCACGGGCACCGCACACTGCTGCGTGCGCTGTGTGCGGTGCGTCCAGCAGGCGTGGGGGTAGGGGATGGGTAGGCGGCTCTGACGTCACGGCTGCGTGCGGTGGACGGTCCGCTGTGGCCAGTCCCGACCGGCCACAGCGATCGCTGTGTGCGGTGACGGAAGGCTGACGTAGGGACGAAGTGGGCGGAGCTTCGAGGCTGTGTGCGGTCCGACCGCACACAGGGCCCGTGAACAGCCCTCCGAACTCTCACGCTGTTCCAAGCGGTCAGGTAGCGGCAATGCCACGTGCATTGCCCGGGAATCGAACCCGGATGGCCGAATCTAGAGGCAAGTATCTTACCCCTAGACCGGAATGCTCCCCAACTCTCTCTCAAAGCAAGATTTTCGATTGGAATGTAAAGTGGAATGTAAACAATCATATTTGCATCAACTGCGCCGATTACGCTCCCAAAACAAGATTTTACTGCCACCTAGTGACGGTTTACTTAACCCTTAGTTGCCAAGTGCTGCCACCTGTGGCCAAAAACTACCGGACCCTAGGCCATCTACCGGACCCCGAATCCACTAGCTGCTCAGTGCTCATAATGGATAATGGGTTACGGACAAAAGTACGTATCGCTAAAGTACGTAGGACAAAAGTACGTAAACAAAAGTACGTAGGATTAAAGTACGTATCGCAAAAGTACGTACAGTATAAAGTACGTATGGACAAAAGTACGTCAGGGACAAAAGTACGTATCGCAGAAATACGTACAATATAAAGTACGTATGGACAAAAGTACGTCAAGGACAAAAGTACGTATCGCAGAAGTACGTACAGTATAAAGTACGTATGGACAAAAGTACGTCAGGGACAAAAGTACGTATCGCAGAAGTACGTACTGTATAAAGTACGTATGGACAAAAGTACGTCAGGGACAAAAGTACGTATCGCAGAAGTACGTAGGGTATAAAGTACGTATGGACAAAAGTACGTCACGGACAAAAGTACGTATGGCTAATGTACGTAGGGTAAAAAGTACGCATGGACAAAAGTACGTCACGGACAAAAGTACGCATCGCAGAAGTACGTAGGGTATAAAGTACGTATGGACAAAAGTACGTCACGTACAAAAGCCTACGCATAGCAAATGTACGTAGGGTATAAAGAAGGGTAGCCTTGGGCAAGACGCCACAGATAATTTATTTTGCTACATAGGTACCTACTTTTGTCTCACATCACCTGGAAGGCCAAATTTGTGCTCAATGTGTTCTTTGGACATTTTACTTTAACCCTATTAGTGGCAGGCTCCTGGCTACCCCTATTAGTGGCAGGGGGGGCTGTTTACGACCCCCCCTTGATATCTCGAGATCTAACGGGCCGATTTTCAAAATTCAAACGGCATTCGACTTCGCTCAACGTGATCTACATTTCTAAAAAATGAAAATTAAGAAAATGTCAAAAGGGGGGTTGAGGGGGGTAAAAACGGGCAAATTGCAGATACATTTTAGACTGTTTATCACGGCCAGGTTTCTGAACCAATCTTAACGCAACTTTTGCCGATCGATAGAGAATGAACCAGGAATTCACATGGATCCTAAAAATATGCATTTTCAAAAATCATAGGCGGATACAGATCATTGAGATTGGGGGTACACAAAAAGTATAGTAAATAAGGTTTTTGTTGGTACTGTTTCTAAAAAGGGTGGTAATGGTCTTGTTATGTTACAATTTTCTTATGAGAGAACGACTACAATTGTATTGGTCATGCATAGGCGGTGTCAGGGCACCTATGTTGGGAGGTAAAACATAACCCCCCTTTTTGGACGCCTGGATCCGCCTATTATAGCAAAAACGTGTCAAAAGAGGATGCACAATAACTTTGTATATGTTATCACATGATAAAACTGGTGCATACAGTTATAATACATCAGCATCGTTATCATCGCCCAAATGACTCGCTTCACGAATAGGACCCCCCAATTCCCAGTGCTCTGGAGCCGCCCTTGGTAAAGTTATGAACTTGAAATTTTCAGGGAATGTGCCCAATTTAGTTTTAGGAAAAGTCAGAAAATTTCAGCATCGTAGCTTCAGCGGTTTCGGAGATATTCCCGAAAAACCTGAGGGGTGGATGAAAACAACCCCCCCTGCCACTAATAGGGTTAAATTCCACCCCTCAAATTCATTCACTTATGATCGGACTCCCAGCTATAGGAAGTGCTTTGTGAAGCAACTGCAAATGGGGCATTTTTTCCGGGCAAAACACCCCACGGCCTGAGGCAAGAAGCCCCATACACTAGATTAACAGAAGAGAGGATCTTTCCCCAGAACCCTGCCAGTTCCGAGAAACATCGGTGAGGCGTTTTACCTCGGCGGGGCGACTTGCCCCGGTCTACCCTACGTGTGGACAAAAGTACGTCACGGACAAAAGTACGTATAGCAAATGTACGTAGGGTATTAAGTACGTACCCCACCCTTGGGTTAAGTTGATCAATGTGTACCTAATACCTTTCTGATTCTTTATTATTTGTCACAAGGCATAGCAAAATTTCTTGATGAGTAAATGGGCGAAATGGACAAAGCTATATTATTTGGTATATGAATTTATCATGAGTTCCCTGCAGTATGGCAACAGAGCAGCAATAAAGAAAAAGTGGCCCAACTTACACGACTATACCCTACTTCTAACATACGTACTTTATACACTACGTACTTTGGCATACGAACCGTACGTTCTTTTGGCATACGTACTTTTTACACTACGTACTTTTGCATACGAACCTTTGCGTACGAACATTTGCGTACGTACTTTTGGCATACGTACTTTATACACTACGTACTTTTGCATACGTACTTTTGCGTACGAACATTTGCGTACGTACTTTTGGCATAGGTACTTTATACACTACGTACTTTTGCATACAAACTTTTGCGTACGAACATTTGCGTACGTACTTTTGGCATACGTACATTTTACACTACGTACTTTTGCATACGTACTTTTGCGTACGAACATTTGCGTACGTACTTTTGGCATACGTACTTTATGCACCACGTACTTTATCATACTTACTTTTGCGTACGAACATTTGCGTACGTACTTTTGACATACGTACTTTATACACTACGTACTTTTGCATACGTACTTTTGCGTACGAACATTTGCGTACGTACTTTTGGCATACGAACTTTATCGCCTACGTATATTTGCGTACGAACATTTGCATACGTACTTTTGTCCTACGTACTTTAGCGATACGTACTTTAGTCCTAAAATCGCTCATAATAGGTATAGGGGAGAGCGGGGCCAGTTGAACCCAGGCACGTACCCAGGATTTCGCCCAGGAGGGGGCCACCTGCTTTCGAAGGGGCCCCCCACAGTGTATAGGGCCCCCCAGGTTCCCCGGGGGCCCCCGGGAGTCATGAAGAACCTTTCGATGGTGTGGGGGGGGGGGCATAGTGGGTCCGGTCTCTCCTGCAGACGTAGGTGAGAAAACGCCACGTGTGTGGGAAAACGCAATTCAGTTCTTTACAACCTAATGTAGCATTTGGTTGTGATTTCTCGCGTTCAACTTCATCAAAGTTAATTAAAACGGTCTCTGTAACGGTCTAAGCCTTGAGAAAATGTGGAAATTTGGAAAGTAAAAATATTTTTGCTTGAGGAGTGTGCATGAAACGCACGGCATTTTATGAGCGAGCGCCTCAATTACTGAACATCCTCCAATTCCGGATATGTAGGTATATAATATAATAGTGGGGAATAAATGTCTCGTTATCGGAATTCCACTATCTGGCAACAAGCCCTATGTAAACGCGGCTATTATATGTTTCACTAGGAATCGAGCGCAATTGTACTTTTAGCCAGAAAATAAATGTTTGGGTAATTCTGGGACACTGTATTAATTGGAGGAATAGGACTTACCCAGTAAACATGCCGACGTCGGCCCGACGTCGGGGTGACGTCGGCAACTCGGCATTGGCATGCCGACGTCGGCCCGACGTCGGTCCAGCCTCGGCACGACGTCGGCTGGATGTCGGATATGCCCGCATGTTCCGACGTCCAGCCGAGGTCCAGCCGACGTCGGGCCGACGTCGGACCGAGATCAATTGCTGAGGTCTAGCAGACGTCGGACGACGTCGGGGCGACGTCGGTCCGACATCGGCCGCTGTTTTGACCGTTAAAATAATATAAAATACATGTTTCATGTTTCATAAAGAGCTTCTGTATTCAAAATATCCTCAGGAAACTCAAATCTTCCTCCACGCCGCAACCCCCTGATCCGGACTGGACGGGAAACTTTATCCCATTTGGGATTGCCCGTAAGCCGAGCTCGCCCGTAGCCGGGTGCGGTGAGTGCTTGGGGGCTGCTCGGCCTATCCTTTGGTCAGGCTCAGCCCCGGCAACTCACCAGGGCCGGGCCCAGTTCATATAGAAATGTATGTATGTATGTATGTATGTATGTATGTATGTATGTATGTATGTATTGACGCCAAAAGCCTTCCACATATGGCGTGGCGATTGGCCAGTCGGCAAGTGTCACTTTGCCAAAGTGCCACTTATCAAAGGGACACTTTGGGCAACGTTGGTGCAGGTGTGTAAGAGTGGCTATATGAATCCATTGTGGGGTCGCCCTTTCCAATAAGTGTCACGTAACAGCAATGGGACCAGGGACTCTACACCTTTTTACGCCCAATTTAGGCGGAAGTGCGCACATTTCAGTAACAGTGCAGGTGATTTCGACGGTTCGGCATAGAGCGTTCATGTATTGAATCGCGGCACGATATTCGTCATCGTGTATCCCACTTCGTCATAGAGCAGTTAAAAGTGGCCCGGGTTCAGACATATTAGACTTAGTGCAAATAATTAGTCAGGTTAGGTAATTCAATTTCGACATACGACATGTGCTTACGGCAATGTTCAAATAAATCCAGCACAGTATAAATAAGCGATCATGTAAACAAATCTCGCCTTCTTACGCAACTTAAGCCCACAGCAAAGCTCTGGAGATAATGATGAATGTGGGATGTCACGTGAACGTGAAATGCGCTACACCTTTTTACGGCCAAATATACACCTTTTGTCAGTTAAATTCGGTTGCGTAATCATCCATTTTAGAACTAACGAAATGTGTGTAGACAGACCGCAATATTATGCACAAGAATCGCATAATATCTCGGCGCAGGTCAGGCAGTCGGCGGTAAAACATTCAATTTCGGCACAGCGGCAATATGCTCCATCTCCGGCAATAGCGCAAGTAGAATCGGCGGCGCCAGTACAGGTTTAGAGGTAGCGCACGCTATTTAGCAACAGTAACAACCAAATTCGGCACTGTTCATTCAATTTCGGCGGGTAACCGGAGACACCCAGATGGTTCATATTTTCAGGGGCGCT